TCCAAGTAGCTGGAACTACAGGCGCGTGCTACCATGCCTGGCTAATTTTTGACTTACTGTAGAGATGAGGTCTCGCCAAGTTGCCCGGGCTGGTCTCGAACCTGCGGGCTCAGGCAGTCCACTCACTTCAGCCTCCCAAAGGCGCGGGATGACAGGCTGAGCCACCGAGCCCGGCTCTTTACTGCATTAAAGTGGCAGGTGTGAAGGCACTATGTGAGAAGAACATTAATATATTTAGGTGACAAATTCAACAGCAGTGTTTGAAGTGGGACAGGAAGAAGAAAAAGATTAGTGAGTGATACCTTCCAAGTCACTGGCTTGGGAGATGGATAAGACAGGAATGTCTAGCCCTGCAATGTTGAAGACGGAAGCAGAATTTCCTGGGAAAGTTGTGAATGAGATTTGAGGGGTCAGTGGGATATCAAGAAAGAGACAGTTATTAGTCAGGTAGAAAGCAAGTGACAGAGAAGAAGTTTCCAGGCTGAGTTATTAGTATAGATTGAGTATTGACGGACACTTTGGCCCTCAGGCTAAACCCATTCTTCAGGTGTTTGGCAAATAAAGTTTTTGGGAAAACAGCCATGCTTTGGTTTACATATTGCCTGTGGCAGCGCCCTCTCTACCGCTGTGGATAACAGATTCCTTTGTTATGATGGATACCTATGGCCCACCCCATGTGCTGCCCACCTGCCTCTTTTCATCAAACGTTTGCAGCCGCTGGCTAAGCAGGGCAGTGGCTGAATTTGTGGACATGGATACATTGCCAAGGGATGTGTGTGGCGTGGCAGAAAAGATACAAATTAAAAATAAGATAAAATAAAATAAAATTTCCCAACCTGGGGGGGAAAAAAAGAAAACATAGGATGTGGAAGGAAGAAAGGAATCAGACTGAAAACCACAGGCTTCTTGAAAAAAAGCTGTCATTTCTAAATCTAGTTTTATCTCTGTTTTATTCCACCTATATTTTTCCTAGTTGCCAAATAAGCTAGATGGGGAGAGAAAAACAGACACGGCTCTTGGTCTCATTTTCTTTCCTTTTTCCTCTTTTTTGCAATGTCCTTTCTAGAAAGATGGCACTTGGTGGAGGAAACAACAAAGACCATTCTGGAAGTCGTGTGTTGCTTTCACAATGGAGGAATGTTCTGAGAAACGTGCTGTTAGGCGGTTTCATCGCCGTGTGGACATCGTAGAGTGTACTCACACACACCTAGATGGTGCAGCCCACTGCACACCTAGGCTATATGGTGTAGCCTATTGCCCGTAGGATACACGCCTGTGCAGCATGTTACCGTCCTGAAGACTGTAGGTGAGGGTAACACATGGCGAGACTTATGTACCTAAATAAATCTACATAGAGAAAAGGTCCGGTGAAAGTATGGCATAAGAGATAAAAAAAGGGTCTACCATGAACAGAGCTTGCAGGACTGAAAGCTGCTCTGGTGGGTCAGTGAGTGATGGAGGGAGAACTTGCGGGTCTAGAACATTGCTTTGTGCCGCTGTAGACTTTAGAAATGCAAAAACAAGTAATCCAAACCTACTCTGCACACATAGGCCACACTACATAGATTTGATTTTTTTGCTTCAATCCTAAATTAACCTCAGCACACTGTAACTTTTTTCCTTTATACCCTTTTAATCTTTAAAAACTTTTTGGCTCTTTGGAAAAACATTCACTTTAAAACACAAACACATTTTGCAGCTGTACAAAAATACTTTTTCTTTATGTCTTTATTCTGCGAGCCTTTTTCTATTTTTAATTTTTTCCTCTTTTACTTTCTAGATTTCTTTTTTGTTAAAAGAGAAATCACAAGCACACTCATTAGCCTGGGTCTACACAGGGTCAGGCATCACGGTCACTGTCTTCCACTTCCACATCTTGTCCCCAGGAAGGTCTTCAGGACAAATGACATGCTTGACGCTGTCATCTTCTGTAATGACAATGCCTTCTTCTGGAATGCCTCCTGAAGGACTTGCCTGGGGCTATTTTACAGTTAACTTTTATAAGATGTAGAGGCAGCATACTCTGAAGTAATGACAAAATATCGTCAATACATTAACCAGTAGCATCATGTCATTATCAAGTATGATATATGATACATAATGGTGTGTGTCCTATTTTTAAATGACTGGTAGCATGGTATGATTTGTTTGCATGGGCACCCCCACAGACACAAGCGATGTGTTGCATTATTGCATCCCCACGGCTACGATGTCATCAGGCTCTTGGGATTTTTCAGCTGTCCTGTGGTCTCATGGGCCCACCATCCGTGGGCGGACATTGAACAAAATGTCATTAGGTGGGGCATGATAAAGAAGTCGTGAGAGAGGAGATAGAAGCTACGGGAAGGTCTTGAGGGGACTTGACACCTGCGGGAATGCCCCCCTGGCCACCTCCATTATCTAATTGTTGGCTGGAAACGTGGTTAAGAACGTCCTGTCAACCCAAAATGTACTGCTAAAGGAAGGAACTTTTTGCTGTTTAAACACAGGTGCAGTAGCTTAACTAAATGTCCTAACTTGGCCTTGGCTTATTATAATACCATTAACATAGCATTTGCATTGCAGTTCTACCTCTTTCCCCAAGTGGGCTTCTCTGTGGTACTTAGGGGTAATATTCAAGATGGAGTAACTGTGGTCAAGGACCCGCATGCACAATAAGAACTGGGTCTCAGGAAGTGGGGGAGGGGGGTCAGATGTAAATGAGAGAAATGCCCCCAGGAAAGATAAAATAAAATTTATAAACTAATTCCTAGCACCAGTAACCCATTTGGGGTCCCTTCTCTTCTCTGAAGAGCTTTGTTGCTTAGTAAATTCCTTCTTTCACTCATTCTTTTGGTGTCCGCATTCCTGAATCTTCTTAGTTGTGGGACGAGAATATGAGGTTGTTGGTTTCAATTACAGTGGAGTTCAAAACTCCTGCAACGTTAGGAAGAGGTGACCCTTCCAAGTCCAGGAGCCCGTTCCGTGTCTTAGCCACCGGCCTGCGCTGCATGTATGTAGCTGTTGGGCCTTCCGTTTGGCATCCACGCTTCTTTTGTCCTCCACTATGTCCCTTTCATTTTGTTCATATGAGTTTTTTCCCAGGTAGATATAAAGAGCCAAGCCTTCTGCTTAGGAAATATTATCTTGTCTGCTTTTTCCAGGAGCTGCATACCTGCCCAATAACACAGAGCGCAGTCAACTTGTCACTGTTTGGAAAGGAGCCCTCTATTTGACTAGAAGATACAAGGAACAAATAAGCCTGGCTCATTTCTATGCCAGCCGCAACGTGATTACAGGAACGGGAGTAAGAAAAGGACATGAGTGCAAGGACACCCACGCACATGGGTTCAGGTGCCAGGTCCTTGAAACAACACCTGAAATACTGATTTTGCTTGGGACCCTGCCTCGTCTGCTACCCAGACTGGCAACATGGGATTTCATCAACGACCGTAATTCATGGGTGATTTCTCGAGGCTTCTGGACACAGTTTTTGGTTCTCTTTTTTCTTCCGTGTCCCTTGATCAAGCCTCATGGCTTGTATAATCTTCAGCATTCATAATCTAGGTAATGCACTTTGTAGAAGCAGCAGGAAAGTGAGGATGTGCAGATCTCCTTTTCCTCCCTGATGAGTTTAAAAATGCTGTCGTTTACTTCAGCTGTTGAAGATGGAACTCTCTCCATATTTAAGCAGTGGTATTCTCTTTTCATGCTGAAAGGCAATGAATTGTCAAAAATGGACATCTTGCCATGAATAAAGATGGCAAGTGAGTAGGTGACTCAGAAATGTGCTTGACAGGAGGGAAACGGTCTGCATACAGAGCATCTTCTGCTGTAAACTTGGGAGACCGAACAAGCCTGGCTGCAATGGTAGCCATCAGGTACCTGGACAGGAGCTCACAGTGTGCTCTCAAGATCCCCACGTGGCTTACAGAGCCTCTTCTGTGTGTTCGTGTGAGACTCTGATTCAGTTCTCTGACAACTTGGGCATGCGTTGATCTTGCTTCCAGATGGCTTTCCACCATCAGAATCCTGCTCAGAGGAGGAAATAGTTGGATACTACCCTTGAAGAAGTGTCTTCTTTAGTGCTGGAGTCAAGGATCCCGTGTGTGTCTGACTCACGTCCTATTCCAGAGACCTTCACTGGCACCTGAAGGCTGCTCCTGGGATCTGGGAAGGAAACAGAATTCACGGAGAAAGGACTCGATGTCCCTTATGTTCAGAAAGACCTTGTATTCTCTTAAGGAAGCATCATTGGTAAACTTCCTGGTTTTCCATTTCTTTATCTTTCAGAGTTGCTTTTAATGAATTAGCTGATAAGATGTGGAATTCCTGGTACAAAGTAAGAAAGTAAGAACTCAAGAGAACCTGCTATGACTGCAAAGCATACTGTTAACATTCATAGCACATGCAAAGTACTGGTTGTTCCATTGTTCCTGTAGATAGCTTGTTGCCCTATAAATGTTATGACTTTTGGTCTATTCTTTTTTCTCCATCCATTCTGGCCTCTTTCATTAGTAATGTATCTATGAGTCAGTTCAGAGGGGAAATGACCATCATTATAAAACCACAAGTCCAAGTGCGGCAGCAGTTTGCAGCGGACTCAACAGGTAAGTGTGCCCAGGACAGCCCAGCTGTACTCACTGGGGCTCCCAGGAGCCTGGCAGCGAGCCTCCCTCCCGTGCTGCCATCAATCTGCTTCTCCTTCCTTTAAAAAAAGTTCTAAAAGAACAAAGGCTGGGCGCAAAGCTCAGGCACTGGGAATTTGGGGTTGGTTGTATTTTCTATGAAATATGTATTGTTTTTAGCTTATAGTTAATATTGCATTTACCTGGAAATGTGAATAAAATTAACATTACGAACTGAGACTATTTTGTGAGAAATAATTCTGATTAGTACAAAAATGGCTTGAAGAAAATGTATGGTCATTTAAAAAAAAAGTGTTTAGGAACACAAGGGTGGAAGAATGATGTTATCAAGGGTTAACATTGTAACTTTTTTATTTTGTGGAATAGATACTGACGTGTGAGTTTCAGCCACACTTCCCAGCTGGTGATGCCACAGGAAAGCCCCCTGCCTGGACCCCAGAAACCTTAGTGAGGCAACGAGAAAGGGGAGATTGTCATCATGGCGATGACGGGACAGGGACCAGTGTGGGTAAGGCTGCACCTCAGGCTCTCTGTTCTCCCTGTCTGGGAAGTTGTGCAGGGAATCTAAAAGAAGAAAATCAGATTCCCCTCACTTATTTTTAATTCACTACTGCTTGCCCTGGCGTTAATTCTGGGCTTTAACAGAAGTATGTTTTTTGCCGTGGACTCTTCACCTTTTTTCTTCACTTGTTCATTCATTAAATTCGCTGATCGAGCAAGGTTTCCCCAAGGCCTCATTTTGGAGAAGATTGCTACAGTCATTGATGCAGAGATTATTAGGACAATTCTCATTCCCCCAAGAGTTTACAGTCTTGACATGTTTTGCAAAAACTTGTTCGTTCACCTTATTCTAAATGGTGGTGATGGTGGGGGTAGAGGGCTCCCCCCTCCCCCCTAGACATTCATGGGCAATGTCTAGGAAGTTTGTGAGGACTGAGTGGGAGTGATCCTGGCATGCAGGGCGCAGGAAGGCTGCAATCTATCCTACAGTGCATAGACACACTCCCAATATTATCAAGTATTATCCAGTCCCAGAGGAGAAACTCGGTTCTTAACTGTTGCTTTGAACTGAATTTATCCTTTACTTAGTGCAATTCTTTACATATAATAAAGGTATCTGCTACTGACACATTGTATAGTATTTAATAAATACCTGTCAAAAGATTAGTAATATTAAACTAGATTAAATTCAATGGTGAGTATGAGGAATGGTGGAGAGAACTGGATTTGTATCTTGGCTCCATAATTGAGTGTTTGTGTTGCCTTGACCAAGTTTCTTAACATTTCAGAGTCTTGGTTTTAACCTAACATAGGACATTAATACTCATTACTGTACTTAGTGTTGAATAGCATATCATATATGTGCACAATAGTTTCTTATAATTATTTCCTATCTCTTTTATGTCTGGACAAGTTTCCCAAGAATGAATGGATGACTTTTAAATTGATGATCTTGCATTAGATATTTTAGAAAATACCATTTCTGGGGTACATGTTCCATTTTTTTAGAATGACATTTTTTTTCTGGCTACTGTTTCCTTTTTTTCCCTTTATGTGTGTTGTTATAGCCTTACAGTAGAAGGACTGAGTCTGTATTGGGGTCTGTAGTGCTACCTGTTCTTTGTATGCAAAGATGTAAGCACTAAATGCTCCAGATGGCACCACAGATGCAGAAAGGTTAAGAGATATAATCAATTGTCATACCAGGGAGACACGCAACGTGATTTCAAGTTTACTGTGAGTCCCCACTGACTGAATTAGAATGTCATGTTCTGTGACAGGACAGTAATAGATTAGATGCGTGTTCCTCTCTGCTCTTCTGGATAAGTAAAAAGAAAATGCAGCCGTGAACCACCTCATTCAGTGGCCAGGACATCCATGATTGAAAATGTCCACTCACACTCTTCACCTCACGGTTCAAAGTATTTAAGCTCAGGCAGTGGCATCTGCTCTGTGAGGGGAGCAAATGAATCATAATAGTGTAAGAACATGCCAGAAGATCTGGGCCCAGAGAGGAGTGCAGAGAGGAAGAGCATTCCAATTCTGAAGGGGTGAGCACAAAGGCTGCTTTTAGCTGAAGCAGGAAGGCAGCACCTGGGGCGGGGCGGGGTGGGGGTGGTGTACTGCTTAGTAAAGAGGGAACAAATGGTCACTTGACATTTGAGTCTTTTCTCCCACGTATCTCAGATCCATAACTTGAGGAAAATGGCTCTTAAGAAGTTTTCTTCCACAGGTAAGAAAGAATACCATGTGCTATGTAAGTAGACTCATAGCTGCAAACCTAAAGCATTTCAAAATTATTCTTTTTTTTTTTTTTAGCAAGCCTGGGTCATGTACTTCTCTTCTTAATGGCTAGACTTTTGATCATGTAATATCAAAATAGTAACATATCATGATAGGATGACTTGGCCATTCAGTGATGGTACAAAACATTGGGGAAAAAAGTTTGGAAGAGAGTGACTATGGTAAGTTATTGCTCTTGGAACTATAAGAAAGATAATTTCATTTTAGAACTGGTTTTATGAAGTGATTCACTTGACATCACATCGTGGCAACTGAAAGTAAAGATTCTGGAAGAGAAAATCGTCAGTCTTCGATATGGCAGGCATGTGCACTCAGCTCCAAGACTCACATTTTTGATGAACTAGAGTGAGTTTTACTCTACCCCGACATTAAGTGACAGTATAGTCAAGAAAAATAAATGGGAACCAGTGTTTTCACTGATACTGCTGTTGACAATGTGTTAAATCTTCCCAGATAAATTAAAGAAAATTTACAAAGTAGCTTGAAAAACTATTCAAAATTATTGCATTAAGATGCATGTCCAAGTGGCTTTTGACTCGATTCCCTTGGAATACCATTGCTAATAAAATTTTAAGAAGGCTTAAAGTGAAAAAAGGCATCGGGACTTAATGCTGTCTTCCTTGGTTTTCTTGAATTTATGGAATATGTTTTCATCTTTTAGTCATAGTTCTGTTTTTAAATAACTCTGTTCTGCTCCATGAGAGACATTTCAGGTCTAAATGTATGCAACCAAATTATCTCTTAACCCTCATTTTCCAACTGCAGTTCAATCAATGTACTCCAGATGGCATACAATGATGATAAAATTATGCATATGTTGCATTGAGGGATTGAATATGCAAACAGAAGGGCCTGGTTAACTAAGGCTTTCAAAATGCCTTCAGGACTTCAGCATTCTACCCCATAATGGAGAAAAAAAAACCAGATAATGTTTTGCTTGGTTTTAGGATTTGACATTTTCAATATAGCAAAAGGAAATGCAATTATAATCCATATCAGTCCACATGAAATGCTGCCAATGTCAATATAAAAGTCAATGTTTTCCTACAAAAACGTTTGTCCATAGTGATGCATTTTTACCTTAGTTTATTACCAACATTTCTCAGTTTATACCAGCTCATGAAAAATTAAATGGGAAGAACCAATCACAATGGATCTATTTAATAACTTGGTAAGCGTTTAAGAATACATGATTGTTAAGGCAGGTTGTCCACTTTTGTTTGCATAATTTCAGAAAAACAATATTTGGGGAACTATATAAAAATTTATAAAAATATGGAGAAATGTATATATATATATATTTCTCTATATAAAATATATATATATATAAAAGCAAAGCAAACAAGTATTCATCAACTACCAAAGAATTATCAACTAGTCTACTACTGAACGTGTCTGTCACAGCTCTGTAGTTCTTTAATGTGAAAGCAACGAATCACATCTGCATTTTAGATATAAGAGTAGTTTGCAAAATGATATATTTGTCAGTTTACCATGACACTGCTGTCCCAGGAAACCTACTCCATTCTGACGACAATCATTAGTTTTAGTCATAGAGTTCATATACTTTAGAGAATTGTCAGTATAGTTTCTAAAGATTGAAGAAAATTTATGGTGGCTTAATAGTAAAGTTTCTATTCAAAAATATAGACGTGTGTGTGTGTGTGTGTGTGTGTGTGTGTGTGTGTGTGTGTGAGATTCTTTACCTCTCAATATCCACCCACAAGTCATTATTTAAAAATGTTTAGTCCTACAGGCTAAGGTGGGTTTGTACAAATTGGTGATACAGTTTTACCAAACCTTTCTAAATTGGGAAGCCCTTTCTTCATCTAGGAAACTGGGTGTTTACTTTTTTCCTACAGTTTCATGCATTGATTTTGATGAACGTTTCATGCTAAAGGAGTTTCTAAAGGAGAACAATCCAGAATCCATGAATAGTCACTGAGCCCTTTAGTTCTGCTCTCAACTTAAAGCCATTCTTCTCCATTTAGAGCAGACAAACCCTGTTGCTTCACAAAACACTGTGCTGTCATTTTAGTATTTCCGTGGTGGTTGTTTCCAGCGAGCTGGGCTGGAATATTAAACTCTCTGCTTCCTCTGCTGTCTCTCGCTGTGCTGGCCACATTTCGGGTTCTGTTTGAAATGGGCAAAAAAGCAATTCTGCTGTTCATACAGAATAACTTGTAAGCTGGTGTGGGTGCCTGTGCATTCTTTACTTTGTGAAGAGGATGTGCGATCGCCTGGCTTTGTGTCTGCGGCCACTGGCTTTCCGAAACTCCACTGAAATGCACTGACATGCATAAACAATCAAACGTAAAACATAATAAAAGTCTCCTCTTCCCACCACGTTTCCCACACCAGACACATCATTTCAATGCCCCAGTCTACATTCACCAAGTTATACATGTTGGAAACCAATTCTAAGTGTCACGTAGAAACAAAAAGATAATAGAAGTTCAACAGAGTAACATACAGCTTTCAGTATTAAAAATGGCTCGAGACCGACCTGGACAACTGGGCGAGACTTCATCTCTATAATAAATAAAAAAATTAGCCGGGACTGGTGGCACACACACCTGTAGTTCCAGCTGCTTGGAAGGAGGAGGCAGAAGGATCGTCTGAGTCCAAGAGGTCGAGGCTGTGGTAGCCATGATTGTGCCACTGCACCCCAGCCTGGGCAATAGAGTGAGACTCTGACTCAAATAAATAAAATAAAAAAATAAAAACAAAGTCTAGCATTTGAGAAAATTAGCTGTCGTGGCTCTTGCCAATTGATGCAGCCACAGACCCCTGTGCTGAGAGCTTATCTCCTGATGGGATAATCCTTCCCTAATGGGAGTTGTACTATTGCAAAGACTGTCTGAAAACATGTTTAGGTTCTCACCATCTGCTCTGTTTGTCCGATGGAGAAAAAGTTTGAGAAGTTCTTAAGCAACCAACGCAATTGTTTAACCAGTGGAATGGCATTTGTGCTGGAAGCGCCATGGTAGAGAGACTTTTGGGTCTGCCCAAATATATAGTGCATTCATCTGAATTTTGTGTGCTTTATTTATGGCCTCTCACATTTAAGATGCCACATAGTCATATCCACAAAGTAAACATTGGACATTTTTGATGATCTTTTGATTCTTTTTTTAAAGCACCTCTACATGAATTGTGGCTCTGTAATGTCAGGAGAGATTCACGGTCTATCTTGGATGCTATTTAGAAAATGCTAATGATGAACACTCCAGATAGGAAAGTTCTTCTCTCTCTCTTTCTTCTTTCCCTCTTCGTTTTCTTTTTCTTTCTTTCTTTCTTTCTTTCTTTCTTTCTTTCTTTCTTTCTTTCTTTCTTTCTTTCTTTCTTTCTTTTTCTTTCTCCCTTTTTCTCTCTCCCTATCTTCTCTCTCCCCTCTCTCTTTTTTCTTTCACTCTATTAATTTCTCTCTTTTCCCCTCCTCTCCTCCCTCCATCTTCCCTCTCCTCCCTTTCTGTCCCTTCCCTCCTTCCTTCCTTCTTCTTTCTTTCTTGTTTTCATTAAAAATACGATCGCTTGGTACAATGACCATTGACTATTTATGCACCTGACTCTGAACTGTCCCCCACATCTTTAAAATAAAAATTTAGCGACAGAGTGAGACTTCAACTCAAAAAATAAAATAAAATAAAAATTTAAAAATAAATAAATAGTCAGGGGAGGGGGCTGGGATTGGCAGTTGAGGGAAACTGCTAGGTGAGGGAGGGGCCTACCTCGTCAACAAGGCTACCTGCATGATCAATGTTTATGTACTTGACCCTGAATTGTACTGCACATCTTTATAATAAAAATTAAAGTAAATAAATAGGTCTTATCCCCCCCCCAAAAGAAAATAAAGTATAATACTAAATATAAATGACATTTCTGGTAGCAGGTCAAATTCTATTATGAAAGTTGCATAAACATTTTGGGGTGACCATCGGGGCCAGAGACTATGGAGTATTTCTCATGCAACATGGCTCCGCCTTCAGTCTGCCACTCTCTTTGGTGACCAGCAACAGGGGCATCACAGCAATGTCCCAGGTGTGCCTTCCAAGGGCGGAAGGAAAACAGATCACAGCGGACTTGCTGAGAGACTCTGTGAGAGCCTGCAACAGGACACCCTCATTTGGAGTTTATGAGAGGGTTGCCAAATAAAATACAGGACACTCGAATTTAAATTTCCGCTACATGACAAACTTTTACTATGTCACGAGTATTGCACGGAGCATATTCATGCTTAAAGGGATTCATTGTTTATCTTTAAGGGTATGTTTAACCAGTGGGGAATTCTACTGATCAACGTCAATCCTCGCCTGTCTAGTAGCCTGTGACTCCACCATAGAAATAAAAGCAGGACAGAAGCATCTGGAGGTTTTGATCAATGGCGTAATTCAGAAGTATAAGGAGGAAGTACAAACTGCACTGGGGATTTATTCTGCCGGTCTCCATGAGTGAGGAGGATCGTGGACAAATGTTTAAAGGTAACAAACAACAACAGATGCTGGTGAGGATGTGGAGAGAAAGGAACGCTTCTACACTGCTGGTGGGAATGCAGATTAGTACAACCTCTCTGGAAAACAGTCTGGAGATTTCTGAAAGAACTAGAAATTGACCTTCCCTATGACCCAGCAATTCCCCTATTGGGAATATACCCAGAGGGACTCAAATTATTCTACAAAGAAGATAACCTGCACACGAATGTTTATTGCAGCTCTATTCACAATAGCAAAAACATGGAACCAACCGTGTTGCCCACCGAAGCTACTCTGGATAAAAAAATGTGGTACATATACACAATGGAATGCCGTGCAGCCATAAAGAGCAACACATATATGGGCTTTGCAGCAACCTGGATGGATTTGGAGTCTATCATACTCAGTGATTTATCACAGAAACCAAGAACAGAGTTCCATATGTTCTCACTCATAAGAGGACCTTGAACAATTATAATGCTATAAGAAAGCGATTGGCATTAGTGAGAAACTATGGTTGGAGGGGGGTGGTTGGGACTGGCAGTTGAGGGAAACTGCTAGGGCAGGGAGGTGCATACCTCATGAACTTGGATACCAGCATGATCAATGTTTGTATACCTAACCCTGAATTGTATCCTACATCTTTA